ACAATCTGGAGGCTATAAGTCTGAATTAAGGTGTCAGCAGGGTTGGTTCCTTCTAACCATACATGCAGTTTACTCATTCAAAGTGTACAATTAATTAGTTTTTAATATAGTCACAGAGTTGTGCAGCCATCACCACAGTCAATTTTAGAATGTTATCCTCATCCTCAAAAGAAACTCCATACCCATTAACAGTCGCCCATCCCCCTTTCCCCATCCATTATACCCCCAACACACACTAGGTAATACCTACTTTCTGTCTAGATAGATTGGCTATTCCTTGACATTTCATTTAAACTGAATTAGAATATGTACCTTTTGTGACTGGCTTCCTTCAGTTAGTCTTAATATTTTCAAGGTTCATCCATGTTGTAGCATATCATACATAGTTCATTCCTTTTTATGACCAAATAATATTTTGTATGGATATATCACAGTTTGTTTCTCCATCCACCAGTTGATAGACATTTGGGTTGTTCCTACCTTTTGGTTATCCTGAATAGTGTTGCTATGAGCATTTGTGTACACATGTACATACAGTTGCATTTCTCTTAGGTTTTTCTATTTTTGTATTTTTCAGTCCTAAAATTTCTGTCTGGTTTTTTTTTTCTTTGCTGAGATGATTTTTCCAATTGTTTCAGCATGTTTGTAACTATTGAAATGAACTTAATTTAAGTGTTCTTTTTATCAGGCTTTCTCTGGCTTTGTACTGGTGGGGTAAGATCGAGCACCTCATTACTGTCTGATGTAGATGGGAGTCCAGGTTCCCCAGTTGGCCTTCATGAATATCTCAGGGGATAGGATGCCTCCTTTCTGCTGGGTGGAGATGGGAGTAGTGGCTCCCTAGCTAAGCTGGAACCGTTTTGGTTGGGAGGGGTAGGGTTGCCTCATTACTACTCTACATGGCCTTCACTGACACCAAGTGGGGAGAGGAGGGCTCCTGCTTGCCTGGCTGTGGTCAAAGTCCTGGCTGTCCACTAGACCTCTTCTATATTAGCATAGCATAACGGAGGAGAGCTTGCTTCAACAGGTGGGGGTGAAAGTGCAGATGTCCCACATGGTCTCTGACACTGGGTAAGGATGGGGCTCTTTACTGCCTGGCAGCGGCCTTCTCTGACCACATATGCCAGTAGGGAGGGGTACCTTGTTACCACTGGGTGAGGGAAGAAGCCTAGGCTTTTCACTTGGCCTCCACTGATGGACAGGGATGGAGCCTGAAGTTCTTCCTTTGGTGTTTTACTTGAGCCATTATTGTCTAAAACTATATTTAAAAAAAATTGAGATACCCGAATGGTTGTGTTTTCTCAATTAAAAGGCTACGTAGCAGGTGTTGGCTAGTCGAATATAAGAAAAAGCACCTGCAGACTACTGCAGCTGTCTTTGATAAGCCTTATCAGTTAAAGAGATAACAGTGGATAACCTCAAATAGGTTGTGTGAGATGATTCTGTTAATCTGTTCATATGGTATTTCACTTTTTTTTTTTTTTTCAAAGTTCTTTAAATTTCAGCAGACCCCATGCTGATCACAGATGGTGAACAGATAGGTACGCTTGGTGTGGCTTTGTCATCTCCTTCACCCTTGCAGCCACGGCAGAAGGTGAGTGATATCAGAGAAGGATTTCCCGGAATGGGAGAGCAGGAGAGAACAGCATGTGTGTATCTCTTCTGAATACAAAAACAATACACAGTCATTATTTTTAAAAAGGAAAAATCAGAAATTATAATTAAAGAGGTAGATGGCCTATATTTCACACAGAGAAAAATTATATTTTTAGCTTAAAATTTTTTCTCTATTATCAAAGTTTCATTAATAGTCACATGACATAGAATTGTTTGGAACTTGATTGTTTCTTAAATCATATTCCTGTACCTCTCGGGAGGAAGGACAACAAGTGCTGGGAAAGTTCTGGCCGTGGGGTTTGCTGATGTGGAAGGCGCGGGTGACTGACGGAGGCAGTTTCAGTAGAGCAGTGGGAACAAAAGCCTGACGAGGGGTTCGTGAGACCATGGAGGAAAGGAAGTGGATACAGTGATGACTGACAACTTGGAGAACAATGTGGTGACCTAATACTGAAGCTGAAGGTGTGTTCATGGGAAGTGGTGCCGAGGTGGGAAAAGAAAGACAAGACTATTAAAAAGGTCAGGATGTCAAGGAACTGAGAGGCCAAGGTTGCAAGGGACATTCCTGTGTAGATGTTGAGGTCACTAGGAAATACAACAGGAGTAACGGAGTGCAGCTGTGAGTTTGGGGATTGCTTCAGGGTATAAGGCAAGTGACCACAGGCCTGCAGATGACCGCAGCAAGGAGGGTGCTATACCTGGACAATAGGAGCTGCAGGTTTCAGGGAGGTGGGAAGGAGAATCGTCTGGATGCAGTAACTGGTCTGTCCAGTGGTGGGAGGAGTGAGCGAAAATGGAAGAAACTTGGGATGGTTGCAGGGTAAGCAGGGCACTCGGGAGAGCCAGGTTTCTGCTAGATCAAGGCATTAAAGGGTAATTTCAGAGAGCTGGGTGATGATACTGATGGATGGACCCTCATTGCAGAGGATACAGTGGGAAGCTTTGGAGGGCTGAGAAGTGATGGGAGCTGTTAGATGGGGAATGTTCAGAGACTGCAGGATGAGCATGTAGGTAGATGTGGGGTTCTCTTGTAATGGCGTATCAACAGGGATGAGGGCCTGATGACAGTCCTCCTGATAGCGTCTTGCATAGCCCGTTTATTGGTACCAGCTTTATTGGGATATAATTCATATACAGTTCACCCATGTAAACTACATTTCATTGGTTTCTAGTGTATTTACAGATGTGTGTAACCATCGCCACAATTTTTTTACAAGTCTGTATTTGTAAAAAATAATGCACAACTAAAGCTAATTTGATTTTTAAAATCAAAGTTCATTTAGTGATAATATACATTGTATAATAAAATTATAGTAAAATACTGACATTTGATAGTTTAAACAAAGTACCATTCATGTAAAAATGTTATCAGATGTAAAATTTAATTAGAAAATTCAGAGTTCACGAAAGTACATAATATTTTGTCAATAGCTCATGAGAACATTATCATAAATTTACTTAAGATACAGAACAAAATTCACAGTTTGGCTTGACATTCAGTACCATAAAATTTTATGCTGAATCCACTGATATTTTTAATAAGGTACACTTGAAATAACTGATTCAGACTAATAATGAATTGACATTCTATTGTATAACCAAGATCTATTGGTTTTATAATGTCTAGTAATCAATTATTTCACCAATAATTTAAATGAGAAATCTAGTTGAAAACACCACTGACATACACCTTTTCTGTAGGATAATTAACAAGCATTAGCAGCTTTGATTTCCATCTTCATGAATACATACAAATCTGTATTTTACAGTTAAAATTTGTACAAAAAGTCAGGCCCTTAAGTATTTTTCCCCTAAGAGGAAAGTTCTGATGTTCAAACTTTGTTAAAAAAGAAGAGGTAGTGTGTGAAAAGTATTTGTACTTAAAATGTTGAGCCCCTGCACCACTTATAATATAAATGAAATTAACTTTCTACATATTAATATTATTTTGCCATTCAAGAGTCATATTTATAGAACTCACAGAATGTTAAAACTGGAATGCCATTAAAATATTGTGGCATTTAAGTAGAAGAACTTCGGAGAATTCAACAAAAAGCACATTGTGTTACATAATGTGCAGTTAATAGTTTAGTGATAATATGCTTAGTGATAATGTGAACAAAATACATTAAAGTATCCTGAGTCATGCTATTCATTTAATCAAGACTGTACTGCATATGTTTTTACTATATAGAGAAAATATCCTTCAAAACACTCATTTAATTGTTCATTGTTTTAACAGCACGCATTGTTATAAAGGTATCCTTACAAGCCCTACCATAAAATTAATCAATAAATAATGAGAGAAATATCCATAAGCCAAAGGGAACTCATGCACTCATACCACTCTTAGTTTCTATATGCAAGCACACTATAGTGCCTGGGCACACCAACAGAAAACAAAAAGGAATGATTTTTCAATGAGATTGAGACTGGGAATGAATGAGAAGAGGTTAAGGGAGGGGGGTCTCCCATATTACTAGAGTTTATGGAATTGCCTTTTACAATATAAGTCATACCCAAATGGAGTGTGTATATACGAAAGCTATAGGATGGACAAACATGATCCTGGACAACTGTTAATAGTTTCTAAAGTCAGGAATATAGTTCAATGCTTTATAACATAAGAAGCAATTCCTAAAAAGTCAACTGGTTTGAGTTCTTAGAAATGAGGGGGGAAAAGCATTTGATAAAATTGTTACAATTAGCAACAGAAGAATAACATTAAGAAATCAAAATAAAATATGGGGAATGTAGGAGCTGAGAGCCCGAGGGTACCACAAGATAGAATCAGACTTTTTCTTCACAGTAGAATTTTTAAAAATATGGTGAAAAGAACAATTAACTGGGCTCTGCACAGTAGGTTAAATATCCAACCACTTCAACCAGAAATGATCTAGTCCTCTCATACAGCGCTGAGAATGTGTTCTAACATCCAACTGTCTAGAGACAAAATAGCAAAAGCATGGAACTTCATATGCAAAGGCCCCTTTTCGACTTAAATTCACCTCTGACCCACCAAGGTGTATATTAACAATTATAAAATTACTATTATAACATTATAAGCTTCAATATAATTTTTCTCATGCCTATTCCAGGTCCCTGGTTCAGAGGTATATATGCTTTAAACTAGCCAGATTTACAAGTCCTGGTCACATCCTTCACTCAGAACAATTCAAACAGTGGTTTCATAGTGTTATGATTGTTCCATCTCCTAGGAGTTTCTGATCTGGAGCATGCATTTCAAATTCTGTATTTGTGCCATTTGCTTTGGGTGCTAAGCTCACTTCATTAGAAGGAATAAAATCATCTGACCAGACTCAAAATTGAGTTCTATCTGTCAGTGATTCCAGGCTCTCCATATTAGGAACAGCTTTAGGAGTCTACTGTGGCACTCCATTGTCTTCGATAATAATGTCATCTTCATCCCTGTATCCATCCTCTGGCTCAAAGCTGGGTTCCATCTGCTGTGGATAGCCAACCAGGCTGTTATCAGTAGACTGGCCAGAGCTGCCAGAAGTCCTAACGATGTTATTCCTCTGGTTTGCTGGTCTCACTGTTATGATGAGGTTGCAGCTGTTTGCAATCATCATGTCTGTTACTTGATCATGACTCTTCCCTGACACTTCTATGCCATTAACTTCTAAAACTTCATTAACAGCCAACAGCCCTGTGCTTTGAGCCAGACCTCCTGGGACAAGTCTGGATATAAAGATCCCTGGGACCTTCTCTAAGCCATGTGGTGTTACCCTCATACTAGAGCCATCCCGGATGTAGATTCCTAGGGGTTTCTCGGTGCCATATTTGTAAAGACGAACCCTACGTTGTGTTTCTGGGAGAATATTCACGTCAATAATAGAATACACAGGTCTTAAGTCTTGGGGCAAACTAATGACTATATGTGGCTTTTTTTCGATAGTTGTCAGGGTGCAACACATTGGTTAAAACATTCTTCTTCTTTACCAGTGTGTCTGTACCAAAGGCCCTGTAGTCTGCTGCTGCTTTTTTGGTTGTAAAGATCCTAAGTAGCGGATTGGCAGTTGAAACAGCTTTGTGGTAATTATCATCGTTGTTTATGCGCAATAAATCTCCGTAGATATCTGCATAGCCTACTAAAACATCAGCGTTGGGCATCTTATGAACATGTTGCAGTAATCCCTAAAAGTCTTTAAATTTTCCAGGTTTTGATATTTCCAGTGAAAACCGACGAAACTCGGCTCCACACTTGCGTTTCACCTCCGGGTGGCTGCGGTTCACACTGAGGCCGGACCGCTCAGGCCCGCCGCCCCGCGGGAGCGCAGGCAGTGAGCGCGCGGTCCGGGCGCCCCCTGACGGGCACCTGCGCAGAGCTCCGCTCGTCCTGCCCCTCACCAGGCGGGACCGAGGGGGGGACTGGCGGCGCGGCCCGCGGGGACCCCACCCCCTCCCTCCGGGTCTCGGCTGCGGCAGCGGCGGCAGGGGAGCAGGGGGCCGAGCAGAGGCAACAGGTGCCGCAGTTCCGCTCTCCGCCGCCTCCCACGCGGGCTCGCTCGCGCGCGCGCGCACCCGACCCGGGCCGGTCCGCGGCGCCTCCACAATCAATTTTAGGATATTACAGTCACCCTCCAAAAGAAATTCAATACTCATTAGCAATCTCCTGCCCTCTTGCTCCCATCCATCTCACCCTCCAGTACTTGATGACCACTTATCTATTTTCTGTCTATATATTTGCCTATTCCGGACATAAGATGTTAGGACATACAATTTTGGGATTGGCATCTTTGGGCTAGCCTAATGTTTTTAAGGTTCATCCATGTTGTGGCATGTTTCACTACTTCATTCCTTTTTATGGCTGAATAATATTCCATTGTGTGGATCCACCACTGTGTTTAACCATCCAATAGTTGACAGACACTTGGTTGTTATGCAGAATGCTGCTATGAACATTCATGTACGAGTATTCATGTGGGCATGTTTTCTTTTCTCTTAGGTATATACCTAGGAGTGGAACAGCTGGGTCATATGGTAACTGCATATTTAACATTTTGAGGAACTGCCAGATGGTTTTCCAAAGCTGCTGCACCATTTAAAATTCCTACCAACATCTCATGTCTCCAATTTCTTACATACTCACCAATAGTTTCTATAATTTTTTTCTTTTATTGCCATCCTAGTGGGTTTGAAATGTTACCTGATTATGGTTTTGATTTATGTTTCTCTAACATTAATAATGTTAGCCATGTTTTCATGTGCTTATTGGTTACTTGTATATCTTCTTTAGAGAAACATCTTTCCAGATCCTTTGTCCAGTTTTTAAAAAAGACTTTTTTAAGGGCAGTTTTAGGTTCATAGGAAAATTATTTCCCATATACTCCCTGCCTCCACATGCACAGATTCCCCCATTATCAACATCCCCCATCAAAGTAATACATTTGTTACAATTGATGAACCAACAGTGATGCATCATAGTCACCCAAAGTTCACAATTTACATTAGATTCACTCTTGGTGTTGTATGGGTTTGGACAAATGAATGATGATATATATCTACCATTATAGTATCAAAGTGTCTTCATTCTCCCAAGTGTTCTGTGCTCCACTTATTCATCCCTTTCTTCCCTACCCCCCCCCATCCTTGACAAACACTGATTTTTTTTATTGTCTCCATCTTTCTCTTTACCAGAATATCAGATAGGATGGACTCATACAGTATGTAGCTTTTTCAGATTGACTTCTTTCATTTACTATTATGCATTTAGGATTTCTCTACATTATTGTAAGAATATGTTGAATATTGCAAGGAATTGCTTGTTGCTTCACATCCTTATCAGCATTTAGTTTTAGATTTCAGCCATTCTAATAGGTGTATAGGAGTATCTCAGTTTTTTTTTTGAGAGGGCATCTCTCATATTTATTGATCAAATGGTTGTTAACAACAATAAAATTCTGTATAGGGGACTCAATGCACAATCATTAATCAACCTCAAGCCTAACTCTCAACAGTCTCCAATCTTCTGAAGCATAACGAACAAGTTCTTACATGGTGAATAAGTTCTTACATGGTGAACAGTGCAAGGGCAGTCATATCACAGAAACTTTCGGTTTTGATCACACATCATGAACTATAAATAAGTCAGATATGATTATTCATTTGATTTTTATACTTGATTTATATGTGAATCCCACATTTCTCCCTTATTTTTTTTTAAATAAAATGCTTAAGTGGTAGGTAGAGTATCTCAGTTTTTTTTCTTTGAAATTCCCTACAGAAGTATGATGTTAAGTATCACTTCATATACTTATTTGCCATCTGTATGTCTTTGGTGAGATGCCTGTTCAGATCTTTTGCCCATTTCTTAATAAGGTTGTTCATTTTTTTTTATTGAGTTTTAAGAGTTCTTGGTATATTTTTGAAACCGATCCTTGATCAGATACATACTTTGCAAATATTTTCTCCAGTCTGTGGCTTGTCTTTTCATTCTCTTGACAGAATCTTTTGAGACTGGAAGTTTCTAATTTTAATGAAGGCACACCTAGCAGTTTTTCCTTCATGGGTCATGCTTTTGGTGTTGTATCTAAAAAGTCATGCCTAACCCAGTGTCATCTAGATTTTCTCCTATGTTATCTTCTAGAACTTTAATACATTTCAATTTTACATTTTTGTCTGTGATCCATTTTGAGTTAATTTTTGCAAAGGGGCATAAGGCTTGTGTCTAGATCCTTCTTTTTATTTATGTAGACGTTAGTTGTTCTAGTATCATTTGTTGAAAAATTATCTTTTCTCCGCTGAATTGCCTTTGCTTCTTTGCCAAAGATCAGTTGACTCTACCTGTGTGGATCTATATAGGCTCTTTATTCTGTTCCATTGATCTATTTGGCTATTCTTTTGTCAATACCACATTGTCTTGACTACTATATATTTATAATAGGTTTTGAAATTGGGTGGTATCAGTTTTTGTTCTTCTCCTTCAATATTGTGTTGGTTATTCTGGGTCTTTTGCCTCTCTATATAAACTTTAGAATCAGTGTGTCAATATCCACAAAATAATAACTTGCTAGGATTTTGGTTGCAATTGTTTGGAATCTATAGATCAAGTTGGCAAAAAAAAACCATCTTAACAATATTGACTATCCATGAATATAGAATATCTATACATTATCATTGATTTTTTTTCATCAGGGTTTTCAAGTTTTTCTTGTTCATAATTTGTTAGAGTTACACCTAAATACCTGATGGTGCCTGCCGTCGAAGTCAAACAGTCTGAAGGGGAGGCATGGAGCTGAATAAATGTACAACTCATTCTGAGAGGACGCCCAGTCAAGCCGGAACACAGTATATAGCCTTTATTCTCCTTTTTATACACACTCAGATGGGGCAGGTTAACCAGGGATCAAGAAACATGTGCTTGAGTGTTGACATACTTTTTTACAAAACAAGCATACTCTGTCCTCAGGATAGATTCTATCTCAGCACACTCAGACTCAATATTTAGGACTTGTTATTATTCTTAGCAAACTCCCTTATCCCTGACCGTTCTTTCACCCCAATCTCTCAGCTGTCCTCTCTCAGTTTCCTTCAGGTTTTAGCCGTCCCCAACAAAAACCTGATTTTTTCTATTGGTACTAATATAAATAGATATTACAAGGTTTGGCTGTATAAGAAGTCATGCTACATATGAATCTTCTCTTACTTAGACTATGTAACCGAAGGAAACATGTTTGTTGCCTTCATCCCTGCCTCTGCCCTATAGATGTGTCACACAGCAACAAGGCTGTCTTCTTAAAACACAGATCATGTAACTACTGTGCTCAAAACCCTTCAGTGTTTCTCTGCCTCACTCAGGGTAAAATCCAATGTTTTTACCAAGACCTACAAGACCCTACCATAGTGATTCTAAAACTTTCAATTGTGACCATAGTAAAAAAAAAAAAGTTTAATATTATGTCTCAGTGTACACTATAGTTTTAAAGAAAAGTTTCAAGAAACTATCTAAAAAGCATATATGACTTCATTAATGTTTAAATACAGCATGACTTATCATCTGGTAATTCAGTGTAATTTTCATCTGTAGAAGTTCATTTGGGGTCTATTTTTAGTATCTTCCAAGTTGCTCTAAGAGTTTTTGAACACATGGAATGTAGTTATAATAACTGTTTTACTGTCCTTATCAGGCAAGTCCAGAGCTTGGAAACTCAAGGGAGTAAGCTGGGGACAGTTGTCAGGCTAACTTCATTTGTTTCTCCTTTCTTAGGGACCACTGTTCTATGTTGTCTGGTATCCAGTATCTTAGAAGGGATTGTTTCACATATTTTTTTGATAATCTGATTGTTGCATGTGGAAGAATAAATCTAGTCCCTTCTTGTGTGGAAGGGAAGTCACTAAATTTTTTTTTAATGTTTCAAATTTCTCTCTTGGAATGTAATGATTAAAAGTTCATGACAAAGAAATGAGATATTACACTGGCTTTAATTTTATTTCATTCAAACCACTGTTATAAAAACATTCCTAACAATGTTAGGAAGTATGTTAGAGTGATAACTTTTCAGTCTTGTTTTTGATTTGAAAAAATCATTGATGATATTCCTTCTGAAAACATAATCATCATAATTGAAAGTGTCAGAGTATTGACAGAGTATTGTTTCCCAACAGTGGATTATATTTCTATGCATTTAGCTTAACAAACTGCAAACCATGTTAATATAAAATTCAAATAATATAGCAATAACCCTCCCATTAGGAAATTGACCTTCATGTGCCAAAAAATCAAATGGAATGCCATTCTACAAAAGATTAATGACATATTCCTTCTATTTCATACATTCCCCACTGGTTTTTCACTGTTTTTCCTATACTGTTTGTCTCAGTTGGATGTAGTGTTTATTGAGACATGTCTAGTACTTGTAGAGAGTCCATGGGCTCTCTGACTTAGGTATTTTCTATTCTAATATCTACTAAGTAGATAATTCTAATATTTATTACTATTTTTTAAAGTGCTGATGGTGGCCCATTCCATTAATTTCCTGACACATTAAATTGGGATGTATGTAGTTCTTGCTGAGAGTTCATCACCTGCACTTAGGTATTTTCTATTCTATTGTAATACCTATTGCAATAGGTATCTCTAATATTTATTTCTAACTATTTTTAAAATGCTGATTGTGACCAATTACACTGATTTCCTAACATATTAAACTGTGTCAACCAGCAGTCTGGAAACTGCCTGACAACCCTAGAGGTTGTCTGGTTACCTAGGTTCAACAGGTACTTAGCCAGGTTGGTATCTCCTGCCAAAGCAACCAAGAATCCTAGATTTTTAAAAATATTAAAAAAAAAAAAAGCTGTGAAAAAAAGATGGCAGTGTGAGAAGTGAGGCAGAGACCTCCTCCCAAAACCACATATAACATTAAAATACAACAAATACAACTAATCCTGAAACAGCAGCCTGCAGACTGAAGAACAGACTGCCTACATCTGGGGAAAAGAGAAGACCTCACAGAAACGGTAAAGTGGCAAAGTGATTTGCCAGTGGGACCCAAGCCCTCCTCTGACCCCAGCTCACGGTGGGAGAAAGAGAAATGAAGCAGGGAGGGAGTAGAAGCCCAGGACTGCTAAACACCCAGCCCTGGACATCTGCTCCAAGAGCATGA